GTAATCTGACTCCTTTCCCTGCTTTTGGCACTTCTTCTGGTGCAGGTACCTCCTGGAGCTGGTCCGTCTTTTCAGGGAGTATCGAACATGTCCAACGATGAAGTTCTTGCACGGATGATGTCTCGAATGGACATGTTTGACACTCGCCTTAACAGAATGGAGTCCATGATTACTGACAGGTTTCAGTCCATAAAGATTATGCACGGGAGCCTCGACTCTCGTATTGACACCATGCAAGGCCAATATCAGGGAATTGCTGATCAACTACGAACTGTCATTCAATTGTTGCAGCAACATCCGCCTCCACCACCTGAATCTTGATGGATTTTGATTTCTTTTCGATTGCTTTCTATTTTGATTTTTTTTATATCTTGGATATTATATCTTGGATTTTGATTCAATTGTTGCCTTTCAGTTTCTACTTTGAATATTATCTATTCTTTTTTTTAATGTTTTTCTGATTTTATAGCTTTGATAAACTCCAACACCCGGCTCTATTATATTTTTCAATATAATGATGGTAATGATTACTACACTCTCTTACTCTTTTGTTACATTATTGATAATATGATAAGTTTGGGGAATTGCTTTAAAGCTCATTGAGGACAATGTGTTAGATTAAGTTGGGGGATAAGTTTTTGGGGAATTGCTTTAAAGCTCATTGAGACAATGTGTTAGATTAAGTTGGGGAAGAAAAATTTTAATTAAAATTTTATTTTTTTTATCATTTTGTTTGTTTGTTTTTATTAGCTTAATATGGTTGGAATAATTGTGAAGCAAGCTAGAAATTATCAATAATTTAGTAACTTATGATAAATTTAGTTGTTTTTTTCTAGTCTAGGTAATGTTTGAAGCTTTAATTTTAATTTTTTGACTTAACATGATTCTTTGGTTTAACTATTTTGTTTCTAAGATTATAACAATAATTTTGTGGATTTTATGATATATAGATTATGTTTTAATCAAAAATTTATTTAACCTTGGCATTCCTAGAACAATTAGAAATTCCCTTTGAGACTAAAAATTTTTAAATGCTTACATTTAGAAAAAGATGATTTAGCAACCCTTATTTAGCCTAGGCCAACTAAATTAAAATATGACTTTTGCAACCAATTTGAAGCCTATATCCAAATTTTATTGTTCACCCTTACTAAGCCTTGCCATTAAACCAATTTAAATTCCTACCCTAAGTGCAATAATGTATAATTGAAGGATTTGATTTTTATTAAAACATAGCAACAAAAGGGGAGAAAATTTCATTAATACTAGCAAGTGGACTAATTAGAAAAATCAAACAGAAACACCTCATAGAAGAAGCAATCAATTAAAGAATTCAAGTTTGGGGAATTGAAGCAAGGAAGAAATTATCAAAGTATTATGAAGAGACTTGAAGAGACCTTGCCAAAGTATCTCTAACTTTGAGCTTAGTGAAGATACTTCAAGTTAACTTTGAGCTAGTGAAGAACTTCAAGTTAATGTCTCTTTTAAAAAAAAAAATGTTTTGATGTAATGAAAATCTTGAGATTATGCATTTTTTTTTTTTTTGTGCTTTTTATCTACCCTTTCATCCTTTTTCTTTGTTCAGCTAAAAAGTAAATCTCTAATACCCCATTACAACCTAAATAAAGACCTTTTGATCTTTTAAATTTTATGCATTTCAATTGCGGATAAGGGATGACTAATTTTGCATATGGGAATGTTGAACTTATATTGTTAAACATCTTATTTAAAGGTAAATAATTTTTGTGAAAATTCATATTTTATTTATCATAGGTTGAATAAATTGGTGTTAAAAATCTTATTAACTTATGTTTAAATTAAGGAATGTGTTTTGTCGAGAATTGAATTTTTGTTAGAATATAAATTAGCATGGGAAACACTTGATTTGTTCTCATGTTAATAATTTTTGATATTTTTGAAATTGTGAATAATTATCTCCAACCATATTTAGCTAGTTTTGTTAGTTTGTTTAGCTTGTGTTTTTCTTTTGTTTTTAGTTTTGTTTCTTGAGGACAAGCAATGGTTTAAGTACGGGGAATTTTTATAGGTGTTATTTTTATAGTATTTTTAATATAATTTTTATTAGGAATTTTAGTAGTTTTAATTACTTAAATTAGTTTTTATTCAGTTTTAATTATGTTTTTTAATTATGTTTTTGTTCAAAGCTTCCTTAAATCATAATCCACTTGATCTTAAAGAAACTTGTAGGGTTTTGGCACAGAAAAGAGCAAAATAAAGAAAAACACTCAGCTTTAGCACGCCCGTGCTAGACTTAAGGAAAATCAAGTGCAAACTCAGACTCTAGCATGCCCAGACTGTGCTATCTGGCATGCTCGTGCCTAAGAAGACATCAGGAAAGCACACCCATGATGCATTTCATCTTGGAGACTCAAAGCCTAGCATGCCCTAGCCGTGCTATGGGGCACGCCGGTGCCACAGATTCTTCTTTGGACGTGTCCCTGAGCACGACACGTGCTGAACCATCCTTAGAACTCAAACTCTGGCACACCTAGACCGTGCAAAACAGCACGCCCGTGCTACAAATTAGGTGCTGTCTTGAATCGAGAACACCAGCCAGTTTCTATAACTTACATGGGCCCACCTGAAATATTTTCATGACGTACAAATCAAGATCTAATCCTATTTAGGAAGATGGAAAAGTCCTAATTGAGAAGAAATCCAAAGCCTAAATAGTTTCCTATCTCCAAAAAGAATTCTTACTTAATAAGGATTTTATTTCCTAAACGAAGTCGGATTTTCTCCCAGGAAGTCTATATAAAGAAAGGAGCCATTCATTGTAAAGACATCTCTAGTTTTTGACAATTCTTGTTCTATTGTTCTTCTCTCTCTCCAAGACTTCAAGCATTCAAGATTTGTGCCAAGATTCAAAGAAGCCGTCCACGTTCGTCCAGTTATTTGCTGCCTAGTTTTATCTCTAAACTTTAAACTTGTTTTAATTCTTTCATTATTCCTGATTGATTATGGAATTTTATTCAATGTAGTAATGAGTTTTCATTTTAATTACTATGTGAACTAAATTCTCCTACTTAAGGGATTTGATGTAGCTTAATTTCTTTTCCAATTTATACATATTAGATTTGTTTTTCTTTTGTTCAAAAGTATAATATTATTGTTGAACTTAATGTTTCCGAGCAGAATTTCTCCAATTGGATTGATTTTATTTTCATTAATCACTAATCGGGAGAAGGGTTTTTGATATGAAAAAGGTAAATACTTTATATGAGAATAATAACTTGATGCAAAAGCTATAATGGTTTGACTCATGGGGGGTTTTCCTAACGGTTAATGACCTTAGGTTATAAATTCACAACAAATCAATACAACTTAATGATTTAATTCATGTTTGATTGCGCTATTAGAAGATAGGTAATTGATTGGATTAAATCAGCTAACAAAACATGTTTGATTGCGCTATTAGAAGATAGGTAATTAGATTGGATTAAAATAGCTAACAAAACATCGGGAGAGCTTGTTAGTGATTTTAAAGTTGTTTTCCCGACTTGAACAATTAAAATTGATTAACGAACTAATAAAATAAATTGGATAGAGTTAACTGAAGTCAAAATCCATAGTAGCTTTAAATCCTTGATTTCTTTTCTTCAAATACTGTTGCTTGATTCCTTTTTGTTCTATTTTAATTGTTTATTTTAAATTTCTTAAAATAATTTCCCTTATTGTCATTTAAATAATAATAGGTTAACATAATTTTGGTACTTGGCATACAATCCCTGTGGAAATGATACTCTATTCATTTTATATTACTCTTTGCGGTTTCGTATACTTGTTAAAAGCACTGTCAATCTTTTTACTCGGTATACATGTAGTGAAATGTGTTCTAAAGGCAGATGTCAACTATGTAAAGCTTGTGATGGATCCTGCTTTAAGTGTTTGATACCACTCTTATGCTAGCCCTTTCAGAGTTACTGGGATGTGTTAGTTATATGCTCTATAACTAATTTGATTGGCTATATTTTGGATATAATACTTCATGTGATAAATATTTTATTATTAATAAAAGGTATTTAATTGTCACTACAAAAAAATCACCGATTTGCGACCCATTTTTGCTACCGCCTAAAATCGATCGCAATTTTGCGACCGAATTGCGACCTATAGACAAACAGCCGCTAATTGTAGCGCTAAAAATTCCCACGAGTTTGTTTTTCAGTTTGCGACTAGTGTACTACGGATTTGCGACCAATTTTGCGATTGATTTGCGACCGACTTTTTGCAACCGACAGGTTGAGTTGCAAATCGGTCGTAATTTTATTGCGAAGTAAAATGACGTCGCCGAGTTAAAAAATTGCGACCGATATTAATGACATTTGGTCGGTAGCAAATTTTAGGGCTTTAAACGCCAGACGCCCTCCTTCTTCTTTCTCCTTTCTTCTTCTTTCTTTCTTCTCCTCCTCCTCTCCTCTCCTTCGTTCGCAACGCCGCTCCAGTCCTTCCTGACGCCGCTCCAGCTTGCCTGACACCGCCATCTCCGCTCCATTGCAACTCCGGTCACTCCATTGCTATTTGGACACAAGTTGAGGTGAGTCTTGCGATTTTTTTTTCGATTTTATTTTTGCGATTTTATGTGTTTTTATTATAATAATTTTTGGTGAGTTTTGTGTATTTACGATTATGAATGAGTTACTGTTATTATTATTATTAATTATTTATTATTATTATTATTATTATATTATTATTTTATTATTATTGTTCTGTTATTATTATTATTAATTATTATTATTATTATTATTATTATTATTGGTTGTTGTTGTTGTTACTTTGTTATTATTATTATTATTATTATTAATTATTATTATTAATATTAGGAGGTTAGGCATCATGTGCACTGGTGAATCTCTTTCATCCAGACCTTTTCCATGAAGCGCAAGTGGCCCAAAGAATTGAAGGCGGATTCAAAGGCCTGCAACATCTTAACTGAAGCTTTTGACCATGTTTTGTTTGATGCTTCACTTTTCATGTGCTCATGGTATCCATTAAATATTGTAATATCTTGTTCTTATATCAAGTTTAATTGTGCAACAGGTCTTTGCCACTGCTCAAAAGGAGTGCGTGGATTCTTTCTTTTCACAGGTTTGAGTCTTGTGCCCCCCAGTCTTTTTAAGTATGCATTATTGAGTTGCAAAAGCTCATGCATTGCCAGTTTCTTATATCTCATTAAACATATTTTGAATATAATGCTCAATCATGTAGCTTTGCTATCTTAATGCAAATTTCTAGAATATTCCATAATGTTGAGTAACACTGTAGTTCTCTTCCTTCTGCACTTTTCTAGCCTGTAAGACAGCAAAAGATTACTGCGATCTTTATTATTTATCGTTTCCACTTTGCTGCAGAATTCTTTTATAAGCTATGACACTCTGAACAAACTTGGAATTTCCCAGCCTGTCCAGTTCTTGCAGGTATTTTATTGAGTTCATGTTGATTTTTTTTTTTAAATTTGGATTAATTTTTCCTGCTCCTAGGATCATAGAATTGGTTTTAAGCATTTATTGACTACTTGAGAATGCTTCTGTCTAATCAAAACTGCGATCCTACACTCCAATTTAGTCCAGGTATCCTAAAGGTATACCTTTAGTTACTGCATTTGCTCACCCTTCCTTGACTGAGATGTTAGATGCTGCTGTTGAGGATGCTATTGAGCGTGGTAGCTGATAAGAGAAATAATGAAATGATCAATTTTTTATTCTTTTGTTTGTGTTTTTTGTTATCTTGCAAAATAACATCATAATTGCTTGTATGCCTTATTTTTAATTTGATAGATTTTATTCAATGTTGATAAAATTGTTTAGTGATTTTTTTATCAAAAATTGTTTTAGTGATTTTTTTGAAACAATGTATAGTGTCTGATGAAGACAAAGAATTATACCTTTATTTGTGATTAATACCAGGAATTATACTGGTGTTTATATGTATAGTTTCGTATAAATGGGCCATTTGAAGTTTTATACTGAAGTTTTGTAACGTTCTTTATCACATTGAAGTTTTATAAGTGTAGCTTCCTATGGACCATATTTGAGGGTTGAAAAGCAAATTTCATTTTCTTTATTTCTCTGAAGAAGTTAACCACTTATAGTTGTTTGGTAACTTAGATTTTAGTTATTTTTCTTATCTCTTTTATTTGTTGAGATACTTACTGTGGAGTATTTTTGCCAATCATTACTAGTCTGGTACATTCTATATGCTAAAGCATGTATGCTGACTTTTGCCTTTTTGCAGTCTTTCCTAAATTTGCAGCTGTACATTCTATATTTATTTCTAGGCCCTTTTGCCTTTTTGCAGCTTCTCCCTAAATTGGCGAGCTGGTAACATTCTATATTTTTTATTTTTTTATTTTTTTAATTTTGCGAGGCTCCGATTAGGCGATCAATAAATAAAAATTTTTAAATTTACAATTTCGCGCACCGCGACCCGAATTGCCCCGCACCAGCAATCTTTCCCTATGTGCGAAACCAATTTGTGCGATCGATTTAATCGGTCGCTAATTTGTGACCCGGCGAGTGAAAAAATCGGGCGTCGCAAAATATTTTGGCGAACGAAGCATATTTCGACCGAAAAAATATCAGTCGAGGAATGCTGGGGGCTGACCTCGCTAAAATTGAGATCTCTAGCGACCGAATTTTTTTTGGCATTTTGCGAACCGATTTGGTAAAGAGATAAAAGTCGCAAAATGCCGTTTTTTTTTTTTGTAGTGTATCTTTTATATTCTATGTTTGAATCTTGGTAAAAGATAAAGTCCAGTCCAAAGGACAATACTGCTTTGCAAAATTGAAATTATAGATGTGGTTAATAAATTATCCAGTTTTAATATTGCATTAGAAAGCAATGGTGCTCTAATATTTTTTAAATTCAATGTTCTTCCCTCATTATTGGACAATGAATTAGAAGCTGTTGAGACTAGTGCATATTAATGTTATTTCCTTAGGGAAGCAAACGCGTTCTTTTCAAGCTGAAGATAATTGTGAATATCTAGAAACTAATATGTAGGTGCCTTGTTATTTAAACAAGTCCACTGAATTGACCTGCATGAGAATTCCATATGGAGAGTTATTGTGTCTATGAAATACCAAGTGATGGTTGTAATGATCCTTTGACTTGAAATTACTAAGCTATCTTAATGGGAAAAGATTATGTTTCCGATTCTTCAATTCACATCATTCATTACATGAATAATAAGTAAATGATTAATTAAGACATGGTAGGAACTGTATGGAGAAATATTTTGTGTAATTAAGAGAGGATTCATCACTTTGTAAAAATTAAGAAAAAATGTTCTAATTGTTCTCCTAACTAAGTAATGAATTAAGAAATCCTTGCGGCAGGTAGAATGAAAATAGCAAATTAGATTTGGAATTTTCATTCAAATGATCAATGGCTAAGAATTAAGAGAAATTAACATGATTAGAGCAATTAAACAATGATTTAAGTAAAGCATACACACCGCATGTCTAATTACTAAATCAAAACATTAAAGATGACAGGATAGTTAAATTGCAACTGATAAAATCAATGCACTGAAAGATTAAGTCAACACTTTGGGCTTCCAAAGTATTTGGAATAGTCTTGACATGTTGTTAAACGAATGTACTGTCGACCTTCCGCAAGCATCCATTAATTAATTTAAATTAAATTTAATATTTGATTGCCCAAATATATTGGAACCTAAGAAGGTCGAGCTAACATACACATAAGAATGATAATGAGAAAGTGAAAACGAGAAAATCGAATCAAGTATGAACCTTGATTACACATCACCTCACGTTTGTGATGTTAAGGGAACAAAATTGTAATTTATATTTTAATTACAGTTTTACCTAAATTATTAAATTATTGATTAATTGAAATTTTATGTCTAAATTTATTTAAAGAATAAATTTTATGAAAATACAAATAAACCCTTAATAATCTTAATTATGATTTATTTATTTAAATAGTTTTAAATAAATAAATATAATTGTTTAAAATTGGAGAATCCTATTACATATGTATTATGATTTATTATTAAATTGTTTTAAATAAAATAAATAGGCCACATATATTTTGTGGGTCCCATTAATGTATGGCACAACCCAAGAGGATGGTGAATTGGGTTGTCTAAAAAATTTAACTTTTAAAAACAAAATCAAAATCCTGTGGCAGCAAGAATTAGGAAAGCATTTGTAGAGTTAGTTACAAGTTTAGGAAGCACACAAAGCTTGTTGCAAAATTTGGAAAGACTCTGTGAAGAACAGTATTGCGTTTTTTAGAACTACTTCACAAGCTTCACGCAAAATTTTAGAAAGAACTATGTGAAGAATCAGTGTATTGCATTTAGAAACTACTTACTTCACAAAAACTTATTGCTATGAGAAAGATTTTGTGGAAAAACAGTCCAAATTGCATTTACAACTGCTTCTCAAAGCTCTAAAGCAAAATTAGAAAATTGATTATAAATTCATAATATGGTGATTTACCACTAATGTAGAAGGACAAATTAGAACTTGGTAAATAACTTGTAACAAGAAATCCAGAGTTCTAAAATATTCCACATAGATAACAAATTTATTCACGTTTAGGAAACAGAAATTCATTAACAAACTTTGCATTCTCATGAAAAAGATTAACAGTTGTGTAAATAGAATAGAATCAAGTACTGTCAAGAAAATAAAAGAAGATAAGCACAGAGATTTATAAGGGTTCGACACTATCGTCGCTTAACATCCACTCCCCGAAGACTCATCTTGAGATCCTCCACTATGTTATCTCTTTTTCAAGGTAAGGCCAACCAAACTTTACAGGATAGGATCACACTAGATCTAACTTTGTCCTCACTAAAATTTTTCAAAGGTTGCGAAGTCAACCTCTCTTTCCTGTTTTTGTGGCAGAAAACCTACATAACGACATGAGAATCTTACACAGAGGAGTGGGTCAGCTGGTTCTTTCCATAGCTTTTCACCTAGAGCTATTACGACAAGAAGTTGCTTACCGCGTGCTCTAAGAGACAACCTCTATTTCGTACAATTTACAAAAATCTATATAGAGCCACGCAAGAGCACATCACTCACTTATATCCTGGAGGCGCGCAGCAATGGGAAGAATAGAAAACAGATTTAAAAAAAAACAAATTTAAAGTTAGAACTATTCTTTCACAAGGTTGTGACTCTGCGCAAATTTTCTTTTCTCTTGAAAAATAATTTCTTGAAGCAAATACGATGAAACAAATTAAAGGGATTTGAGAGAAAGCTTTGAGAGATTAAACTTCATTCACGGACTCTTACTCTTGCAAAAAAAACCTCAACGTTTTCAAAAGAAAGAAAAACGTATTTTAGGTACAGAGGGGTTTTACCGAGAAAACGATGATTTTAGTTTTAAAAAGAGTATTATTAGACTTTTCCGAAAAATAAAAAGATATACGAATCTTTTGTAAAGAAAATCACCTTATTTTTGTGGTCAAAAATAGTAAAGACAAAATCTTCCTAAATATTTAGGAGATAATAAAATTAGAATGTATAAAAAGAGCCAAGATTTGACTTTTCTTAATTTAAAGGTTGAATAGGTGTTAATTATTATAGTGTTTTTAATTAGTTTTTATTAGAATTTTAGTACACGATTTTTTTATTCTACTATGTATTTGATTTTAATTCACTTCTGAGTATATTGTGTTCAAGAAAAAAGCTTCCTTGATTCCTCTCACCAATGATTTCCGCTAATTGGTATCTAAAGAGAAAAATGTAAGGGCAGATTTCGGCGCTATGTATATAAGATAATTTTACATTAAGGCAAGACACTTAGAGTCTCTACACGATGCACAGCGGCCGATGCCGCCCTTAACTGAAAGTCTGCCACAGCCATTCTAGATACGCTAAGGACATTCAAAGGAAGACAGTAAAGGAAGGCAACGGCCGCGTCGTTGCTAAAAATGGGATAGCACGGTGGCGTCGCTCGCACAAGTTCCTATCACGCCCATGATAATTCTAGCGGGAGTGAACAGAAGCAAGCACGCCTGCCTTGCTTGGGTAGCAGCAGCACCGTGCTTCAGGGATTCCATTAGCTCGTGCTTGCCTATCCGCACACCCCGTGCTTCACTAGCCAGACTTCTAGACTAAAGCACACCCAGCGCTGCCATAAAGCACGCCCGTGCTACGCAGAACGGAAATTAGCGTGAACCATACGCAAATCCATCTTTCTTTTTCTCATATGGGCCGCGCTCATAGAGTTTCCTAAACATACACTAAACTAAGCCTAAGACTTATTTTGGGAGGGAAAGGGCATGTCTAATTAAGAGGAAATGCAAAAAGCTAACAGTTATGATCTTCTCTATAGAAGATAACTAAAATAAAACGGATTCTATTTTCCCCTAATAGGAATTCAAATATACCTTCAAGGGATGCTCTATATAGAAGAAGGGAACTTCCTCAGTGCTAAGAGGATCTTTTTTTTTTTTTTTTATGCAATTCTGGGCTACATTAATTCTCTCTCTCTCTCAAGACTCAAGCTATCAATTTAGGATTTGCAAGCCAAAGAATCAATGGGAAGCCATCCATATAGTTTTGTTTGTACAGATTTTAATTCTCTCTTAAAACTCTTCATTCTTGAGATTTTTTTACTTTTTATTTGTCTTTTAAATATGGTGAAATGATTCAACGTATGACTGAGTTTAATTCAAATTACTAAAATGTCCAACAAACTCTTATACTAGGGCATGATTTTTTGATTTGAGTAAACTTAGATAATTTGATTTCGACAAGTTTATAATATTAGTTTTATTTTTTCATTGTTCGCATTCAGCCTATATAAACTCTAAA